GCGCGTTTACGAGAAACGGTCAGTTTATTATATCGCGGATTTTGTTCGGATCTGTCTAGTGATGAGGTCTGACATCCATGCACTGTAGGTATGTTCAAACAGCCCCTTAGGCGCTAGAAGGACGGGAACGGTGCGACTACGCTGCACAAATCCGTCAATTCACAAACAGACTGCTATTCATGTCGGGGTATCAAAAACTAGCGATGTACTAGTAAACCGACGTCTTATTCTGTGTTACAAATTTCCCTTACTTTTATTCATAAAACAATTTCTGAGCTTAACTAATTAAAAACAGCATGATACATAAGTAATGAAGAAATACCAGGTTCTGTAACATTGAGAATCTTTTCACAACTTTATATATCCACTCACAGTATATTGATAATGATCACAACTCCCGGTGATAATTTCAGTCGAAATCAACGATTGCTAAATTCGAGAAAGACAACGCAATTTGCTAAAGTTGCATCGTTAACGTATAACAAAATTATATTATGGCAAGTTGTGACTTAAACGCGTTATTACCATTAATTCATTAATTTCAGTTTTTAAATCTTCAATCTCTGACCGCATATGTTGTTTGGTTTTTTCTTGTATCCTCATTTCTTCTCTCAAGCGATTTTCTCGTTCCTTAACAACCGCCACTTCGTCGACTTTGAACTGAAGCGCAAGAGGGAATAAAATGATGTGAAAAGCAGGAAATGCATACGTTCAAAACCGTTCGTGCCAGAGTGAACAGTGATCGCAGCCGGTCGATTTCGTTTTCAGTTTCAGCATCTAACTAAATGAATAACCGTTCTTCACACATTAGCAATGACTACTAGTTTTGAAATAAAACTCACTTACTTCCAAAAGCAAAGCTATGCATCCTTCAACCTCCTCTTCGTCAAGATGATTCGGAAAATCATCCTTTCTAAAAACCTCTTCAAGACTGATAACCATGCCGTCAACCGTCCTGGATGTTCAATAGAAAGACGTTGCTTAGCAACGCATTTCAGTTGATGCGTCCACTGTGAGTACTCAGATCAGTGAACGATCTTTAGCATCGATCGAATGTATATATATCCCGAGAAAGCTGGGCCCGATATTCGATATTAATGCATGCTTACGGCCACATGTGAATTCACACAGTAATATTAAATAGCATTGATAAACTGGTTCTGTCTCTCCTGTAAAATTCTTACCATAACATGATTTGCACTACATTACCCCCATACGGCGGAGCATATGATGCTCTAGCTTCGACCTCTCCCTCACATTGTCCGGTTCTTCTGCGTTATACACATAGGATCATCCGCCTTGTTATTGCAGATTGCATAAGGACAAAATGACGCCATTCTTTTGGGATTTCTGAGTGAGGCTTTGCTGTCGTTTTGATTTGTGGGAGCATAAATCTTGATGAATTTAGGTGTATATTTTTTG